GCTAACTACCAAGTCGATGGATCGATTCCATATCAGATATATAAGGATATCAGCCTTGACAGGGATCATTTAGGACAGGTTTTACTGTACTTATAATAGTTGGGGCACTTTTAAACCTCCAAAATACCATGTTCACTGATAGTTTTCTCGGATCATATTTTAAGCAGTACAAAAGTCACCAACATTTTTTTGCATTTAAGCCAAAATCATACCGACATGGTGCGGGAGATCCGGGGTCTCGCTATATCTTCTAATATGCGCTCACTCAGCATCTTCCCACATCACTGCCGCATTGACACCTGCCTGGCATTCCGTGGATTTGCCGAATAAAGCCTCGCATACCCCGCTCTCATGGCATTTGCGATTCCAACCATACGTACACACGATCTTGATCCAGAAATTCTTTAAAGTTTCGGGCATAAAAATATCTCGCGAACACCTTCCGCTGCAGCTGCAGACTCATTCGGAGCTGTAGGCGGTTTTGCAGGGATTTGAACCGGTCTCGACTGACCGGAGATAGTTTTATTCCGCTTTCTAACCGAGTCGGAATTCGCTGGTGAAAAGACCCGCTGCGTGCTTGGTTGGTAGTCAGCCGTCCATTTACGCGCGTAAGCGTCTCACTCTTCGTGCCACTCGAAGTCAACGGGCGAGATACGCGAACTACCCAGTGGGAGTTGTAGCTCGGGCACACTATCGATCATTTTTTGTTTAACTGTAACCAAACAAGCGCGACAAGTTAGCTTTAATGCATGCGAATTTGAATTCAATTTCCCTTACCAAGTTGATAAAGTCGTCCTCTCCACAACGCAGGTTTGTGCTGAATTTGCGCTTTTTCAAAATAGACGACTTAGCGAGCGAGAATGTGTGAAAGGGGGAGAAGGGGCGTAGCGTTTCGAAAATCGTGATGTTCTGACGATGGAAGAAGAGGAAAAAAATCTCGCTGGCAGCTCGAGTTGCTTCTTCCCGGACGCATCGAGCGCCGTGTCGTTCTTCAAGCTCTGATCTCTGGGCTTGAGCTCCTTGGGCGCTGATCGGCAAATGACCGGATTTGCTGATCTCCCCCCGGTTCGGAAACACCGGTTACAATTTGTGGCTATGCTCACTCGTACTTAGCCGACCACGTTCTTAAATTCCTCCGGGAGGCTCCTAAAAGGCTACGAGGGCATTGTCAGGGAGCGCCAAATAATCCCGCAGCGGGAGTCCCGCTCCCGCATTATTGCCGTGTCAAAGGGAGTGGGAGGTGAAGATAAAACGTTTTCTCCTTAGAGCATCTCCAGCGGTGGGGGCTATACACGGATTTATCCTAAACGTAACACGTTTAAAACTTGAATGAGTTTCAACGCGTCCATTAATGGATATAAAGCTGGTTTTAACTTCAATCGGCTCTAAAACTTGGCTTTTGGGTCTTAAAATAAAACCTGGGCTTCAATCAGTTCGACTTGACTTTACTATACTGGTTTTGAAGGGAAACTAAAGGAAACTTCATCAACCATGGGCAAGGGAGTGAAGCTGACACCGTTCAGCTCTGCAAGTCCTGGCTGGAGACATCAGAAGATCCTGTCGTCGGTACAGGCCAAAAGAAGACGTCATTCCTTAGTCGACTTTATGAACACTGGTTGGAAAACAAGAGCGATGAAAGTAGTGAGGATCGCTCGGCAACTGCAGTCGGAGGGCGCTGGAAAAAATGCAGCCAGAGGCGACCAAGTTTTGCGGCGTGTATGCCAGGGTGAAGAGTCGGGAGCGTTCTGGTTGGAATGACGAGATGTATCTCGATGCTGCACTTAAAATCTACGCAAAGAGACACAAACAGCCGTTTGAGTTTCTTGCTGCATGGAATGAGCTGAAAGACAAGCCCAAATGGACCTCCAAGATTACAAGTGATAGCAGTGCCAGAGCCAAGCGTAAGGCCGGTAGTGATGGCGATGAAGCCAGACCAGAAGGTCACAAAGCAGCGAAAGCAGCGCATCAAGAGAACTGGAGCTCAAAATGCGCAGGAGATGAAGCTCATCTTCGCTTTGCTGCAGCGACTGAGCGAAAGGTTGTCGTGATGGAACAACAATTGTACTTGGCCATTTTCATGCAAAACCCGGAGAGCGACGAGTCAAAAGAGTTCTTCTCCATGCAGCGCAAATCTATTCTCGAAAAGATAAAGAAAACGAATGTAGCAGCGACGCAACAACACCCACATTTGGATCACGGACAACTCGTTTCTGTTGAAGCTAGGGCAACGCTAGGTACCGGTAGCTACAAATGCTAACAAAGAAAACGACTCCATTACCCGTAACAGCAGCAACAGCGACATTCATAATATCACCTCTGCTGAATTGTAGCTCTGCTCGAACGACCAAATCAATTCAGTAGTCAAAAGCTGCCATGCATAACTTACCTAGCTGCGTTCACCAAATTGACGCCATACGTGCTCAATCAAATCGTTTTTTAGCTCATAATGAGCTTCTTCGTCTTCAATATGACACAATGCTTGGGCAATGCTTGATACTGGACATTCTTCTGCCGGTGTGCTTTGTACAGGGCTCACCCACTCGTCCTTAAAAAGATACTCGTGGTTTAGATCCTGAAATGGTAGTTCATCTTCGACAATCATGTTATGAAGAATAATACTGGCCAGCATCACATCATTCATCGCGTCCACTTTCCACAGCTTACACGGCAGCGCTAATATCCAAAAGCGTTGCTGGAGCACACCAAACGTGCGTTCTACGTCTTTTCGCACTCCTTCTTGCTCAGCTGCGTACAGTTTCCGTTTGTTGCCTTGAGGTGCACTAAAAGTAGACTGAAATATTGCCCAGGGTGGATAAATGCCGTCTGTGAGATAGTAAGCTTGGTCGTAAATTGCTCCGTTTACAGTAAATTGAACCTTGGGCGCCACTCCGTTCACCAAGTCATTCAATAGCTGCGACCTCTCCAGCACATTTATATCAATGTTTGCCCCAGGCACACCATAAAAAGCGTGCCATATCCACAACGATCAAGATGCGACGGCTTCCAAGATGACGGTCGCTGTCTTCTCTTTCCCTTGAAATGCACTTTGCCACGCGGTTGGACAATTCTTCCATGTCCAGTGCATACAGTCCAGACTGCCAATCATGCCTGGGAAACCACGAGCCGCATTCTCTGCAAGAAGTGTTCCCAGGTCATCGAGTGTAGGTGTACGTAAGTACTCCGGTCCCAGCAAGCGAATGATATTCTCACAGAAAAGTTTTAGCGTCTCGAGCACCGTAGACTCTCCCATCCGAATCAACTCGTCCAGCTGATCTGCAGATGAACCATACGCAAGCATGCGCAAGGCGCACGTCACCTTCTGCTCCGGGAGGAAACCCAGACGTCCAGTGGCGTCACGGCGCTGAACGAAATAATTACACTGGTCATCCTCCACAAGGACGTTAGCGATAGTTTCAAATAGGCTGCGACGCATGCGAAAGCGTCGGTGAAAGTCCTCTACAAATACAAGTTGAGAGAAGTCGATTAAATATCATATAATCCAGCTAACGGTGAGGTCAGTGATACGTACGATCGTCGTAGGTTGGATTGTCTCCAAAGTGGTCTTTCATTAAGCGCTCTCCTCCTATCCCGCGGTCGCGCTCCTAATTAGTTCTTCTGCCAGCTCCTGATCCTCCATGCTTGTGTTTCTTTCGTAGGGGCGCATTGATACTATCCGGAGCCATGAATGTTAGATAGTACTCGTCGTCAGAGTCGTCTAAACCTTCTATCGTATGCGGAAATCTCCACTCCATTTAGTGCTGCAATCTGTTTCGGAATCTGATTGGTCTAGATTTCGTTAATTCCATCTGATAAAGGAAAGCATTTTTTTTTGACATGGACTTATATTTAAATTAGAGGTCTCAAAAGGATCTTTAAGACCGAGGTATAAGTCCTACCGCTGGAGATGCTCTTACAGTTGTATCTTTTTGTGTGTGTACAGAACATAATTCTGAGACTCACAATTCGTGAGTCACGAAAATATACTGCGATAATTGAGAAAGACCAATCAAAGCAATTATTAATAGTAATCGCAGCGAATACATACATGTAATTATTAATGGAAGTGAGTATTTTGCCCGACTGGCTAACCGACTATACAATTATACTCCCCAACATGCATAAAATGGACTTAGCCGACGGTCTTGGCAACATTCACTCGGAATTAATTTCTATTCCCAGACACAGCGCCTTGCCGAGTCGAGGACTTAGAGGCCGGGGTGGGGCAGGCCGCGCAGCGGCGCCCCCCGAGCGCAGCGCAGCAAGCGAAGAGAGGGGCGGGCCCACGGCTATAAGTCCGCAGACGAGTGCAAACGCGCTAGTGTCCTACCTTTACTCCAATTTAACCGTAGTATACTATCTGTACACGTATATAAGTCGATCTCAGTCGGGCAAAATAACGAGTGCCATTATTAATACCTCGCTGCGAGCAGTGAATGGTTACCGGAATTTACGTGTTTTCTGCAACCGTGTAAAAAGTACCTTTCAAGTCAAAACCGTAAGAACGGCGGAAGGCGTAAAATCTCGCACAAGATACTCCTGTCCATTTGAAACCGTCGCTTTGCTCACAATATTGTAATCAATAGCGTGCTTTAACTGGGACACTGATTTGATGCCAAATTGGTTAATTTTGTTGGCACTGCAGACTTTTTACGGGCCACTGGTTGCAAAAAATTGATCGGTTGCAAAAATACCGTTAATTCCGGTACTGTATGATGCAGCAGGAACAGCAACACAGTTGCAGAGAAATGTACATGTACAGCGTGAACCGCATACATTCTGTTGAACAGTTGCTTTTGGTAACAATCAGAGCCAAAACTTGTTCACTTTGTCGCGAAGGTAACAATCAGGGTACTGGTAAGCCGGTACCCTGATTGTTACCTTCGCGACAAAATGTACTATAAGTCGACTTCAACTTGGGTACTTTGATGTGGGCCACATCCAGCTTCACTTCACCTTAAGCTTAATTCACAATCGAATTTGCCTGCCAAAGGCGAAACGCTATGAGGACTTGGTTCTACTCCAAGTGCGTCCTCTGTCGCTTTCTCTCTTACCAGTGTACACCGCTCAGGCATTCTAACATGTGCAAACTGTAGATACGGAGGCCCAACCGTCATGCAAACGGGTGACCAGCCCGACCCCGACCTGGGCGGACCAAAGGACGTCGTGGTTAAAGTGCATGCAGCCTCGCTCAATCCCGTAACGTTTGACAGTATGAGGCTAGCCTGCACGGTCTGCACTTCTTACTGTGGTGCAATGCTTTTCATCTGCAGATTGACTACAAGCGGCGCCAGGGCGTGCTGAAGATGCTGCTGGAAAATACTTGGTGAGCAGCTTCAAACTGCTGGAATTGATGGTCTTTAGCTGAAGAGGAGTGATACGGCAGGCCGCACATTGTCGGGTATGATTTTTCGGGTGTGGTGACCAACTGCGGAGACGACGTGGACAAGTTTGCATTGGGCGATGAGGTGTTCGGTATGCTACCGCACTTTAGCAATGGCGCCCTGGCGGAGTATGTGCATCTGCTGTTTTGTTTTCGTCTGTGGCAACCTTTAACCTGAAGGAGCTGGAATCGTGGGTTGCTAACTACACTGCACTGGCGATGCCACATGTTGCAGCTTTGTCGTTGTGAAAGCGGATTACATCAGCAAGAAGCCTTCGAATTTGACGTGAGGACGAGAAGGATGGATGATTGTATGGTGAACGGGTTATTGAGGATTGCTATTACTGTTCTGTGCACAGACATGTGGAAGCTGCGGCCTTACCTTTAGTGACGCAGACAGCACTACAATGCTTTCGTCTGGGGCAGCTAGCTGAAAACAAAAAGGTGCTGATCACTGGCGGAGCTGGAGGCGCTGGGTCAATGGCTATTCAAATCGCCAAGAGTGTCTTCAAGGTGAGCTGTTGACCGCTTTTTGACTGTCGCTACATCATTTAGACCTGAACATGCGCCACTTGGTTTGCAGGCTCGAACTGTTGCGACAACTGCAAGCACAAAAAAGCTGGAGCGAATGCGACTTCTTGGTGCCGATGAGGTGGTGGACTACGGGCACGAGCGCTTTGAACGCGAGTTGGCTGAGTATGACTTCGCTCTAGACTGCACCGCAGAGGTACGCAGTTTCACCTATGCAGAGCACTGTTTAAGGAATGTTAACCAGTTTTTCTTAATTGTCTGCAGGCCAAGCAGTGCTTCGAGTGCATCACACGTGGTGGCTCAGTCGTGTCGATCGCGGAGACGCCGACTTGGAAATCGCTTTCCACTGGTGATCTCCAGGGTGTGAGCGTGTCTTACCTTCTGGGTGTTCTCCTGGACTGCCTGAGCAGCTCAGTGACGCGTCGTGCGCGCCAAGCTCAAATCACGTACGAGTACATGTTCGTCGTGGCCGATGGCGCCGTTATGGACGAGATCCGTCAGCTCGCTGAGCAACGCTCCATCACACCGGTGATCGACAAGGTTTTCCCTTTTGAAAAGGCTGATATGGCCATGGAGTACTTGGAAGCGGGGCATGCTATGGGAAAGGTGGTCGTGCAGCTCGTTGATACTACCAAAGCAAGCTGAACAAGCTGGGTTGAATGAGCAGAAGGAAGCGATAAGCGTACATGTACACTTTGATATATTGCGAAAAACGTGTTATTTCTATTATTCATCGTGACTTCTTCCAGTTCATCTAATGGGGTGTGCTGCCATATCGCGGTGTTCTCTTTCGCGAGCGCGTACTGTATACGGCGCGTGGAGTAGCATCTGAAGCTAGAACAGCTTCTGTGGCGTCCACCTTCTCTGTCTTGCGACTTTGTGAGGAGAGCACAAGGCACGTGCCACCGATGACGAGAGCAGCTCCAATAAAAGTGAAAGGCCCAGGCACGACATCCACGCCCATGACGATACCTTGTGCTGTGGCTACGATGGGCTCCATCAGACACACAATTGATACGACGATCGGATCGAAGTATTTCATCACACCAATGTAGCCCATTGTGCCGATACAATCGCAAATGAAGACGAGGTACAGAACCACCAGTAGTCGGTTGACGGACGGGGTCAGCCATCCAAACACTCCATCGTAAGGATCAGTAGACAGACTGAGCTCTTGGCCCGAAGCCAGCATGTAACAAAGCAACGTCATGGCTGATGTGGCCGTAAGACCACATAGAAACACCAGCAGGTGCATGTGTGGTCGCACCTTCTTAGCCAACGTGAAGTAAATCGCTCCACCAGCAGCACCAGAAAGAGCCACGAGATCTCCAGCCGCGGTCGCAGATACAATGTTAGGACCTCCGTCAGTCGTATCCATAGTGGTGATGCCGCCACCAACAACACCAATGGCAGCACCCAAAGCTTCGAGCGCAGCTACAGGCTTTCGCTGCATGATCTTCCAGAACACAAGCAGCACCGAGTGTGCGTTGTTAAACAGTGTTGCATGACCCACCGAAGTCATGGACAAAGCCACAACAAACGATCCCACAAAGTATGCGTACGCCACTCCAGCCACGAGGACAGAAGGAACCAGCTCCTTCCAGTTAGAGCCATGCGGTTCGTCTTTACCACGCAGAAGAATTGTCAGCGCGAAGGGAAATGTGACCATCGACGTGGCCATGTTTCGCCAGAAGATGCGAATCTCCGGTGTTACCACGTCGTCCATTTCATCCAACGCAACACCCACCGACGAGATTGTGAAGAGCGACGACATGAGCAGCATGTAGCCGATGATCGGAGCCTTGCGCTTCACCACGACAGTAACTTCAAGATTATCCTCGAACCCGCGTGTGTTCAGCTGAATCTGTGTGATATCGGACGGTAGAATTGTAGCCTTGTGCAGTGGTGTCAGTGTTGCTCGTGGAGTCACCAAACTTGCCGAAATAGAAGCCTCATCCTCTTCATAATCCAGCTCATGTTTGCCTGGCACAGCCAGTAAGTACTCTGACATACCAGAGCCAGGCGGTAACACACCAGACGGATCACCCGGAGTCATTTCAATCAGGTACGCGTGGTGCTTAGAGTTAACCTCCTCAATCGTCTTGGAAGTCTCGTCATCCATAGGGAACGAGAGTACGAATGGCGACAGCTCATCATTTTCGAACGCAGAGCCGTTGCTATCCATAAAGGACCGTGCCGAGAACGGAGATCTCGCAGAGCGACTTGACCATAGTCCCTTCGACCGCGCACTGTACGATAACAGCGGTCGAGACTCAGAATCGTTGAGACCACTGGGACTTAGCCTCTCTTTACCCACATCGACCCCTTCATCTCCATCCTCCGGATAATCTGAGTTGCCTACGCCCACAACGAAACCTTGGAAAAGCTTGACGCTGTCGGTATTACCAGCAACACGAAGCGACATATCTGGGTCAGGCGCTGACACTCCGATGACCACATTCTTCGTCAGCGATGGGTCTCCGATAGGTGTCGACGCCAAGAAGACCGTCCAAGGAGATAACTTCGCCGTTCCATCAGTGTCTTGTGTGTAGGCCAGTTGCTCCTCCGTTTCAATACTGAACCACGTTTCTCCAGCCGTCGGGATGTACGTCAGACGACTGGAACTCGACGATGTTGACTTGATTGTGAAACTATCCAAGGCTTCAGCGAGAGAAAAGTAGCTTTTCTCGCTAGCGAGCGCATCCAAAGCGTCAAAAATGTCCGGCGAGCTCAAGAACAGACCAGCATCGATACCATCGTAGACTGTCAGATCACGACCGATGTGGGTCACGTGTTGGTGGTCTTCGTTGATCTTCACCTTGACTGTAGTTGGTGGCAAACCCGTTAACTCTTTGATCTCCGTCTCCACCAACACACACGCGACTGCGCCTCCAAGAGGATACGCAGACAGCTTGGACACCACTGATTTGTCAAAAATGTGATCAGCTGTATGGATCAAGAACGGTTCTGGGCCGGGGAACATGGTCCTCGCTGCGAGAATGGAGCGAGCGTGTCCGTCGTCATTCTTCCGTCCTAAATCCAGGAACTCGATCTTCATCTTGGTGTAGAATGGCGTCTGCTTGACTGCGGCCACGATTTGCGCTCCCGCTGCAGCTACCGACACCACCACTCGCTCCACTCCAGCAGCATAAAGTTGTGTGAGGATATGGCTGATGATAGTCTGTTGGCCTAATTGAATGAGGCACTTGGGGCGCTGGTTCTCGTCTAGACTGCTGGGCCGCACAGCAGCAGTGAGCAGCACTTGACGAACTGCAGGACGTCGCGAGGTGGGGGTTATTGCCAGTGGAGCTGAAGCACGAACAGCTGAGGGGCGTCCAGGGGGCAGTGGAGGCAACGCACTGGAGCGAGGAGGACGAGAGCTTGGAGCCTCGTCGATGTCCACTTCCACTTCATCTGGAGCGCTGGCGGCGTCGTGGCCCACGGTTTCGAACGGGACGTTCTCACCGGCATCGACGATGACGCCCTGAATCTCCGAACGCGTAGGGTCTGCCTGAAATCCCGAGAGAAGCTCCGTCTCCGGGATGCATAGCAACTGGCTCACGCGCTGCAGGTCCAACGCGTACACGGCTGTAGGCACCTCGGCCTCTACGTCCATGGGTCGACGTTGCACCACCATGTTGCAATGACCTTGGTTCTGACTGAGAAGTAGACGAAAGGGGACTGACAAGGAAGCCGATGCTTGGTATCTCTGGGAGGGACGATAGTGGGTGAAGTAACGGTTGGCTAACTTGTTTTTTGTATGGTTTGGCGATCCGAGTCAGCAAACTCGGTTGCGCTGGACCTACAACCATGTGGCAACCGGAATAAGCGAAGCCGTGGTGCAGGCGTTGCCATTGGCTGCAGCTGCATTAGCCGCAGCTGCAGGTCTACACAAGGACAACGACAAGCCTGCATGATGGCTCACCTGCCACATATGCATTTTGAGTCAAAATGCATATGTGGCAGGTGAGCCGTCAAAATTTGACATCCGCCTTCAAATAAGGGTACACGTACATGGATTGGGGACCAAATTACCATGCACCCCATTTTGCCACACGTACTGTACCACAATTGGTTATTTTCTAACATGTAAGCACTTCAACACGCTCTTCAACAAGGAAAACTCTCTATTAATTAGGGGTACTTCTCTGTCCCACCAATTTAAAGAGATTTCGGTTTTTTTAAATTAGCACTACCAACACGAGCTTGATAAACGTCTAAGTACCCTTATTCAAAAGCTTGAGTCAGCGTGCTATTCGCTATATTTTTTGTGGCTTCGACAGCGACCAGCAAGTAAATACATGTAACACCATGAATGTGGACTCATGTTTAGAGGGAATTCTGTTATCTTTCGTAATTTATTGGATTTATAAGCGAAAGTTTACAAAAGTTACAGTAAATGCTCATTCCGATATGGCGATCCTATACATGTACATGTACACATCAAACGTAATCACGATCGACGTGTGTAACATTCGCTAATAGGCGCTCAATTGCATGAGGTTTTACTGCTTGTTAGGTCAATATGTATCAAATCAGAGGAATGCCATCAAATCATTGGAAGAAGCACGATATCAGCCAATGGGATCATTGTAACATGCTTCGTGTATTACACACAAAACGACAATACTTAAAAATTGGTGGGACAGAGAAGTAGTCAGAGTTGGATACAAGAAGTTTTCCAAGAGATAAAAAGTGATAGTAGTTGGATTTCATTGGCCAAAATTTTCTTTGACCTTGCCCTAGCGATTTTCTTCCAAGACCTCTTTTGGACTCAAGGGTCTGACGGAGGCCATATAAACAGATTGAGATGAAACGCAAGGGAGACCCCACGACATCAGATGTAACTCCACACCCAACTTTGGTTGTTTGCCAACCACGCTCTGGAATTCGTTGTGACCAGCAATAAGCTGGCATACAGCGGAAAATTGCTTTTTGCTAGACGAAAATGGAGCTTGAACTCGTCTTCAGGCATAGTAGTCAGATAGTAATGTACCCGTGATGGAGGGCGCTTTACGCGGGTGAGGTAGCGTTGAGATTCGAGCACCATGTACAATGAAGAGAAGTTCATATCGTCATCCTCATCACTGGAGTCTCTGTCATCCACACTTAGAGCTAGGTGGCTCCTTCAAGCAGCACGAAGGCTACCCAGCAACTGCTGTTTTCGACTTTTTCTCGGCATCCGTGGGTTCATGATTGGGCTTATTTTGCACTGGAAGTTAGTGGTACTTGATTGGTCAAAAAGTGCAAAATAGATCTCTTGGAAACACATCTTGTATCCAGCTCTGACTACCCCTAATAGGGGTAGTAGAGAGTTTTCTGCGCGGTTTTACGATTCGCATTAGGTTTGCTGATTTAGCCTAATTCGTGAATTTGATTGGCTATTTGGTGCCCAATACCCTTAGTTGGTTATATCCGGATAATAGATGCTGGGTGAAAAAACAAAAACAAAGCATCCATTGTAAAGAACAGACTGCAACAGCACTGGGTGCCTTAAAAAAACATATAAAACGGTTTTATCAGTTTAATCGGTGATGGGTGCTTGCGACCTCTGCTAAATCGACTGGGACATCCGTCCAGTTGGCAGCAGAAGCATCCATTTGGAGTTTAGTATTAATTCGGTCCACAGATTTATCCTTGGTTTCTTGAGCTAGTGTCAACTCAGGAATCTCTTTTACCAGTTCCTCAATTTGATTAGAAGCGTCTGGCTCAGCCTCGACTGCAGGTGTATATTGGTTTTGCATGGCGGTCAAACGCGTCTCTGTCTTTTTGATCGTTTCTGTCAAGTCCCTGGTAGATTATAGGATTTCATACCCTATTTGGCAGCTCACTACTTGGCCTCTGAATATGGCATTTTAATTTATGAAATTAAATCTCCGCAATAAATTATCCGATTGAGTGTAAATCGGTGGGTAGTTCAATAAATAATGATATTGTTTCATCAGCCGAAATAAATATGCCATTGTGAATTTTTATTTATGACGATTCAAGCGCTCCAATAATAACTTTCAAAAGTCAAGCCTCGCTGGCAGCGAGTCGCTGCTGATGTTAAGAATACTCGCATCTTCCTTCACCGTGTTAGGCGATTTGATTAGCCACACGGACCAAATTGAGTTATCTAGTTTTATTATTTCTAATGAAATTACAGAATACTTGCTTGTTGTCGCTTTGCTAGCAAGTAAATCAACAAATCGTCAAGTGGTCCACGACCAGGACCTCCAGAAAGACAATGTCACAGCCTTTTAGAGGCGATTCCTGAAATAAAAATAATATTTGGTGCAATTCTCCAATCTCCAAAAGTAAATAATCTAGTGAGAGATGCGTCTCAGCCGAAAATATTACTTGATGTTATTTTTAGGAGAAAATTTAATTGACAATGCTAACTTCGGAGACCTTGATGTTGATTCGCTGCTACATAGGATGAATACAAAATGTTTCGTGGGCTTCTTTCCACAAAGGTAATCATTTGTCATTATAAACAAGTACAAGAAATGAAAGAGAAGCTAACACATTGTTAATGGATGCAGCTTTAAGTGCTGCTGCCATTGATCGCGCAAGTACTGGATAGCGGACAATGTTGCCACGTGAAATGCGGTTCGTGGCGTCCGACATTCAATCTAACATTTGGCATTTTGCAAGATGGACCCTAAGCAAAAGAAGACGCCAGAAAAAAACACCCCAGCGTCAGTCGCAAGTATACCAAGTCTGGAGTCTGGGTTTCCTGCGCGAAGAGCTTCTGTTCCAATCCCAAATCGCAATTCACCCCAGCCACCCGGTCATCATAAATACGACAAAAGAGCTCATACAAAATCAACGCGTTCAGTATAACGTGAGATGGTACGAAAGCGTTTGAGTGTGGTAATATCGAGTACAGATAAGCTCCTCTTGTTCTTGGGCGTTTTCCCGCAAATTCCTTCATCCACGAAAGCACGTCGTAGACCTTCTCCACAAAGATACCGAGCTTTTCACGAACTGGCCACTCCCAAGGCACACATCCAAGTAACTTATGCTCTTTTGAAGTCCGCGATTTCTTCCCTGTATCCCACACTTTTGCTATAGTAGTTTGAGTTTCATTTGCACGTTAAATTTCTGGACTTCTAGGACGCAGCAGCTATTAACAAGTTTCTTGACTTTCTTACGGCTGAGATAAATCTTCCCCTCTCTTGCGTACCTGAATCGGCCATATCGATGTAGTCAACAACGGACATGTAGGACCAGCTTGTTGGCAGAGTATTTCGCCTTCGTCGTGATCATCACATTGATCATGGCATTGCAATATTCCAGCGACGGCGTGGCTTGGAATTTGTTCTGGGTGCGGCTTTTTTACAACACAAAAACGTTTATTTTCAACACAATAAAAAGGATAATTTCCGCTACTCCTGCGTGGATTATGTCAACCAGCCGTTACCAGCTGCGCTTCGCTTGGCTGGGCGCCCCTCCGGCACCCCACGGTTTGCTACGCTCGTGATATAAGGATAGTATGTACTTCATCTTGCACAAAATACCGCAAGGCCCTGCTTGACGTGCTTCCTGCGCGAGTTTGCTACGGCTCGCCTTAGTCGGTCTGAATGGAGAGCTCACAATAAACTACGTTTCGTCGCTACAAAGTCTCTGCAACATCACAAAGTATCTGTTTATCACAACACGTTATGGCTAAATATGACAATGTATCCAACTAAACTTTTTTTTCGTGTGCACAGAAATAGCCAATCCCCATCACTACACACATAATTCTCTAGTCACATTGAGTTAGCGCTCATTTTTGACCAATTATTTTCGACGAGGTCATGTAAGCCAGCCGTTCCGACGTATTGGGTCGGAGCTTTACGAAAAAATGTGTGAATCACCATAAGTTAAATAATTCAACAGCATATCACTTGCACATTTTGCTTTTCTCTGACAAGTGTCATGGGGCTAGAAGAACTAGACTGTGGCAACCCTAAACAAGCCAAGGCTACGGCGGTGGCAGGGTTTAGGAAGTTCTTAAAACGGAAATGTAAGTGACGAGTATGTTACGAGCATGCATTGAGCGTAAGATACTGGCCAGTGTTTTTTTATCTGAAATGGATAAGTTTGGTATTTAACAAGGGCAAAAACGGCAAGCCGTTGGCTCGAAACACTTTGATGCAGTACTACTGGCAAGCTAAGCTACAACTACTCGAACATTTCCCGCAACATCGTGCATCCCTTGGACTCGGCTGCTTAAAATGGACAAAAGACTTGACAACTCTTGTATCAAGGGAGATTGCGGTGGCTTCATCACTAAAGTACCACCGTGCTCAAAGAATGACCTGAAAAAAATGCGTATGTAAACACTAGCTGCTCAAGTGGTTATCAAGACGCGACTTTGCTCTGCCTGCTGTCGTACTTGTTTGGCCGAGCGTCTGACCTTGCATTACTCCGGAAGCAGAACTTGTCCATCGACGAGATCAAGGTGCTCTTCGGACGCCTCATCCGTATGAACGGCCGAAGAGTAGGGTCTGTCCCTATTGCCAGACCCGGACTTTGCTACGTGTCCTCTGCTTGCCGTCGCGCTCGCCTTCGTCATGCAGGCAGCGCCGTCTTCACACGTCATTGGCAGCTGGACTGATCAGTCGAATCACGCACCCATTGATCTGTCACTAGATGCCCCACTGT